TGAAGGACCTTGCTTCGTTCAGTACTCTGATTTTGGCACTTTTTGCTCTGGCTCTACAAGCTGAAGGTAACTCCACAACTTTCATTAGGTTTTTATTATTTATTTTTCATCAGAATTTGAATTTTTTTTATTCTGGCTGATCTGCAGGTACATTTCAACCTCTATGTTAAACTTTAAAATAAGCTGAGAAGTTTTATTCAGGAGTTTTGGTTAAATTAATGGAAAATAATATTCTGGCCAAATTATAAACTGTTAATAATGAACTTCCAGCTGTAATGTACCTATGATCCCTTCTTGAGTGTGAAGATAATACATAGATTAATCTTTGATGTTTTTGGAACAAGTGTTATGAAAACCTAGCCCAATTTTAAAATAGGCCTTGAATATATACTGTACAATTGAGGGATTTTTGGCCAAGAAAAGTTTCAAGTTATTGGGAGGTTTACAGTAAATTGGACTTGAGGGGAATTAGCCATGGATTAACTTTAAATTCAAATTACTGTGCCAAGTTTTGACTTCATTAGCAAGGTCCAAATTTAAATCTGTTTCATTTGTCCTAATTATTGTGATAAACTTTGAAAAAAAAAGGTTCACATCACAACCATAAAAAGCACCAGAAGCCGAAGCCCTTCCAGTGTTATGCTTGCTTTGGAGTGAAGAATTGTGACAGAGGTGGAGAACAGTGGGACTGTGCAGCCACAGAAAGGCAGCTTCAACCAGCTTGCAAAACAGAGTTCAAACACATCAGGGGAAGTGAGTCATTACACACATTGACTATAAAATTGTTATATAGCATAAAATATAATTACTCATTTGACTGCATGCTTGTGCCACAATATCCCACAATTAAGAAAAGCACGCAGATGCAATATACAGCAGGTGCTGAAGTTGGAGGCAAGGGTTCATTTGCCCATTTGTTCTTTCACTTCCTTTCAATTTTCTCTGTACTTTGCAGTATTACTAATTTTTTTGTGTTCCCACAGGGTTAATGCATCATGTTTTAGGGGATTCTATAGTGAAATCCTCTCTACAATAAATAATTTCTGGTCCCTTGAGTTTCTTTGTAAGGAGAGACTCCACTTGTATACAGTAAAATCTTCTCACAAAACCTTGCACCAAAGCACTGTAAGACACGCACCCCAGTTATTTTTCATTCAAATTTTGGTATTTTCCTTGACTTATGGGGCTTGGTTCAAAAAGTGAATTCTTTTAAAAATTTCTGTGCTCACAAGCACAACATTTTGAAATAATATCCCAACTTTGCCGCACAAGGGTTATTCTTACTTCTTGTCCAAGATTATTTCTGGTGGACAAGTAGACTTGACACGTGTGTAAAGGAGAAGTAAAACAACATGACATCAACGAATCTACATGAGTGTACGGGTACTTACAGTGATCAAGACGCCTAAAAAGGTAGTTTTTACATAGGGATGTGGTACAAAGACGTTAAAGACTAAAAAAAAAATTTGTCCATGACGGTTTGCACTAAATTGGCTTCACTATCGAAATTAGAAAAGCGGGTGTTGGAACGCAGCTGCGTGGACATGCCCATCGTACCCCGAACAGGGTTTTGTACCACCCTCAACGACGGCTACACTCAAGAGTGCTACTGCTCCAAGCCACTTTGCAACGGCATGTCGGAGCTTCTGCCATCTTCAGCCGTGAAACCCTGGCCTGCGGCAACTGCAGCAGTCTCGGCTGTAGTCGTGCTGCTTGCTTGAAAAACCTCCGTCTCGTCAAAATAAAAAGAAAGAAGTAAGTTTAAAAGAAGGTAAAAGCGGCAAGGAAAAGAGGGGAGAGGTGTAAAAAGTTACAGAGCACACCACGCAAAGAAATTCGACAAACAAGGTAGCCCACGAAAACGTCTATTGTTCCTTGCTGGTGAAAATGTACTTGGTGTTTTACAATGAAATAACTCAGGAGTTTATTTTTCATTTCGAAAATTCTGCAACAAATCGAGGATGCTGTTCTCTAATATTGTACGCAAAAACTTAATCACCGCCTGAAATACGGTTTTTCGGCAGCTCTCACAAGTTCTTAATTTACTTAATTAAGGACTGACAGGTTAATTGGCGTTCACGTACAGCATTTCTTGGGGACGAGTTTCGTCCTCATGAAGCGAATTCCAAAAATTTCGACGCAAAAATTAAAAAATCTGGTGGATTACATGCATCATTCGATTATTCAAAACTTGTCGCACTGTTACTAAATTAGCTGAAAAACTATCGCGCTTGTTCATTCTTTCATGCGACATCTAACGGAAGTTTTCAAAAATGATCTATAATTTAATCGAATTATCACATTAGATTCACATAGAATTTGAACCTTATTTCCCACTTCACAGGTGTGCCTCATGCTGACATCATGTCACTCAGGGGCATGTTGCTTTCTTCGGCCCGTTACTTTTTAGGTAAATGAAATGTGATAATGTCACTACTTTTTACTATAGTTGATCTTCACTGAGCGCGTTGAAAAATTTTCCAGTTTCCACACTGTACACACATTTTGGCTGAAAAATGATCGAATAAAGAAAATTAAACGCAAATCTTCATAATTATAAGCAAATCCAGGAAAACGTCAAAAGGTTTTTTTGTGCCTGTTCCTGTCTGAAAGTTTCGAAATTCATTAAATCCAGGGTTCCAACTTACCAGGGTTACTGAAATTTTATACGGTATTTTGCTACCCAGTTGAAAATAAAAAATAGTACAGTACTTCGAAAACTAGAGAAATATACAGTTTTGCGGGTATTTCGGTGACATCATGAAAATTGCGTTTTGCATGACGACAGACATCCAGGAATGTATCAGTTTCGTTGTACGGGGACTCATTCTACAATATTTTTCCAAGTTCAATAGTGCACAAAACAGTGAAAGAAACATGCAGGTGTTGCACGCATGCATGAATAGACGATTTCAATTTTTGCTGAACTTCATTTTCTTCATAAAACGTGAGATGCGACTCTCAAATACGTGAGCAAGTGTTGAATAAGATGATGTACAATAATTTATAAATAAGAATGCATGATCAATCCCAGAAGAAATAAAGCCATGAAAAACGGACTACTCGTCAGAGACTTGACGATTCTGTTACTGTATAGAAAGAAATATAAATGAATAAAATGTCTACACGCCTTCTTGCGCTAAATCCTGGTTTATCCCCGCCAGAGACAAAAAATCACAGCAACGGTTTTCCCCAACATCGAGACCTCGATTTGGAACAAAACTGACGTCGGAATCATCAGCCGTATCGGCAACAAACAACCAAAGAAGTCACCGACCAAACGGAACAGCTGAGCAGACTTGCAACAAAAGAAAATACTTCTCTCCGAACAACAACAAAAAATAATTGCATGATCCGCATTCTTCTCTTAGACCGAACAATCAAAAGTTGGGAAAAAGACTACACACTTCAAAGATTCGAGTCATGAGAAACGAGGGGCTGGGGGAAAAGCATGTGTGCTGGTGTGCGTGTAACAAATGCGGCATTTTCACCGAACTTTCCACGACTTCAAGGGAAGATTCTGAAGGGTTTTTGCCGTTCTTCTGCCCCAACCCTGTAGCCAAAGGAACCCTATCACCACGCAAATCGCAGTTTCTATGTAATATCCGTCAAGGGTCACTTCGCATCTTCCGCCCAAACCGAGGCATTGCTGAAAATTAAAACAAAACCATCAATAAAGCTACAGTAAGCAATAATGATGATTTTAACGTAAACCCGAAGAACTCATCATTGAATTTGTCAGCTAATATTCCTTTTAATCCCAAGAACACAACTTGTGTCTTGGTCATGAATTCGTATAAACTCGAATGAGCAAAAATAAAAAATCGTACGACCGAACCCCTCGTGCTCGACGAAAATTAAGTATAAAAAGACACGACTAAAGCGGGAAACAATCAATTCACAAACCTCATTTGCATCAGGTTCATAGCAAGTGACAGGATCAATACGTTCTCCATTTGCAGGACTCATGCAAGCTTTCAGAGTCAAGTTATCCACAATCCAAAGCATCAACGTGGCAGGCCAATTTCCACCGAGGTTCGTAAGGGTATTCATCAGCGTCATGTAGGTCCCCCCGACTTTCGGATCGCTCACTTTCGCAAAAAACGCCATCAATGCTACATACATGCTGTACAGCGTTACCTACCAAGACGAAAAATATAATAAATCTCCAAGCACAAGTGATTGGCTCGGAAAATTAAGAAGGACAGACCTGATGCATCATGTAGACAGCCAAGAGCAACGCGTAATAGTACCAAGCAAAAGTTCCTTTGCTCACTTCAAACCATGGCGTGACCCAAACAACGAAGGCAAACACGAATCCGAACATCAGTCTGCGATAGAAAAAACCGTCGTTCATCAGTTTCAAACTACACAGAAAAATCTGACAAAAATTTACCTCATGGGCATGGCTTTCAGCAACACCTCCATTGGCTTCGGCCCAGCTGTATACTTTGAGATCATGACAGGAAGAATGATCTGCAACGGAACCAAGGGAACTGCGAGCATGGCGAGACTCTCCTTGGGCACACCTTTCCCTATCAATTTCAGGCCTGTGATGGCATCCGTGGCAGCGAAACCAATCTAGAAAAGATCGAACGTTATTTCGGATAAAAATTCACAATCCGCTTCATTCAATATATTTTACGGTATACACATATCCTAACATAACCAGCATCAGTCCCGGTCAACGTCACGAAAAATTATTTCTACTACAAGACCACAAAATAGGAAAATCTAATTCAAAATCAAGGTATCCTGGTGCTAGTTGTACAGCACATCGAGAAAAATTCAGGGTTCGAGCCTAATTTCAACTTGTAAACATTCATGCTTTATAAAATTTGAAAAGAATTTCCAAGGGCATTCCAAAAGCCCATGTCATGAAATTAAGCACCATTACATTCTTCCGTGATAATAAATCAACATCTTATTTTCTCAAAAATACGGTTCCACTATTGAAAACCGAGTTAGGTCATAATATTCCGTCCACTCACTTTGCTGGTGAGTAGGAAAATAGCCGTAATCCTCACAATCGGTAGCTTCAGAATTTTCCAAAGGGTGAAATAAGTGTCGAGAACGCCTTCTTCATGCATTTCCCCGGCGGGTAATTCAGATCCATCCTTCTCATGTTTCAAGATTCCAACAAGAGTCGTCGTTACTAGGAATATTATGCCCCAAATGAATAAGAAATCTGCGGAAAAAATAAAACACAAAGGCGTCAATTAAAATAGAATACTCGTCTCAACACGAATGCATTTCAATATAAGTTCAAGTTTACGCAGAACAGGTTCCGTCTAAGATCCACACGCAGTATTCTAGTTCGCGGGGTTTTGATAAAATGAACACCCATTTGAATGAATCATTAGCGATTCCTTTTTGCGTGAATGTAATTAATAGGTACTGACCTGATAATTTCAGAAGTCCATTCGGCTCCGGAACAGATCTTATGTAAGAGTTGCAAAACTCGGCTGATTCCAGGGCCATGAACACGACTGAACCAAGAAAATAACCCGTTGTCTGACCCGCGGTATTGCAAGTCGATGCAAACCCGACATTTTCTCTAGAAGATGGACAACAAAAAAGTATACTTTCTTTATCACGTACACAATCAAAAGAAAAATCAACGGATGATGTACCTCTTCAACATGGTCAAGGCCCAGCCATCAACGGCAATGTCTTGCGTCGCAGCGAGGAAATTCAGTCCGAAAAACATCATCGTTAAAGTCCCGACTTTCGGATGACTAGCTGGCGCTTCTCCTAAATGCTCGTCGACGAAATACGCATAAGTCATCATGGCGAGACCCAGAAGATATTGCACAGGTATCAGCCAGGTTTTTCTCCTCCCGATTCGCTTGCAAAACACGGAATCGACAATCGGTGCCCACAAGAGCTTGATGCTGAAGGGCCAATTGACGAAGCTGTATTCCGCTTGCTCCTTGTAGCTCACACCGCGATTCTGCAAAATCATTGGTACACTGCCGGCAAGACCGATGGGGATTCCTTGCAAAACGTACAGAAAGTAAAGCACAGCTATGTTTCCATAGTCCCCTTTTAAGTCTCGCCAGCTGTGGTGAGACTTGTGGTCGTCTGATGATTCGCTTAGGAGGCGCTCTTGGGGCGAGGATTTCTTCCTCTGACGACTCCGGGAATCGAAATCCGTCATGTCTATGCTTTCACTCATTCAAGCACCGGTAACAATTACTGATTTCATCCACCACAGAATCTGAAAAGGAACGCACGCAGCATCATGATTGCACAATAGTAGAAACAAAGATTCGTTCTTCGCCACAGAATAATTGGTCCCACACCACCTGAATGTAAAGTACTGTTCGTAACGTTGAACCTTGAGTTGGTTCAATGTTACGGCTCCAGTAATTTCAAGTCTTGCTTTCAAAAACTGGGCGAATGTTGCAAAGCAGCGATTTTACATGGAATACATTATGTTACCTGCATTTCAAGTGTAACAATTTGTACGAGTGAATCGTACGTCAACATAATACGAAAATTTTTAAAATTTAGATCTTAACTTCAGGCTTGAAATCGTAAAAAATGCATTTTATAAAAATTAATCGACAGATCGAATCCCACACAATTTCTTTGATTTTCAAATAAGCAATTGATTCAATCACTAGAACGTTTTCCTCTGTTAGCACGAAAGGCGAAGGGGAGCTGAAATGCTTCTTGCCTTCAATAAATATACAGTACTGTACGGCTGTTGCGCAAATTTTTAGAAGCCTTTGTCGACAGTCTTCCACGTCACCGCAACATCAGCACAGAAAATCTTTTGTTTTCGGTTTAGCTTCAACAATTTTTTCGAAGTTAGTAGCAGGATAACTCCCAAGTAAACCTTGCTTGAAAGTATGTGTGAAAGAGAGGTGGCATGGAATCCAAATTTATCAATGAACATGGGTCGCATGGCTACAAAAAAGGGGAAAATTCTTGAACTTTTTGACGAGCCTTTATTGTTTCCTCGATTTCATTGGCTTCTTGGAGACCTTCCTCTTCTTACGACCACCACGTTCTAATCGCTTTTTCTTCGGAGTCGTGGAAAGTTTGACAGTTTTGATGGGATTTGATTCGAGTATCGATTTTCGTTCTTTCTTACGCTGACGCAAGTGCTTCCGAGGAGCGTTTTTGACGGAGTCAGTGTAAAGATCTGTTTCGAACTTCTGCAGGCGCGAAAGAGCAGATTCGTAGTCTTTCTCTTTGAATGCAACGAGGTTTTTCTCGGTCAGTTGCTTAATTTTCGGGAAAGGATAAGCGTTCGCGGCCACGTCCTTGAATTTCTTCACAAAACTGAACAATAAGTTTCGAGTTTTCTGTTTCACACTTGGATCAGAAGCAAGCTCGAAGAATTCCTTATGGAAGCGTTGGTAATTAACTGGAATTTGGGGGATATCCACATTGACACCACCCGCCCTAGGATCCAGCGCATTCGAAGGTTCTTCTTCGTCTTCATTGTCTAGAATAGCTTCTTCTTCCGAGGCAGCTTTATCATCATTTTCTTCAGTATTCATCTCATCCTCCTCATCGTCAAGCTCGACGCCCATTTCCGTTTCTATTTCATGCTTGATCACGGGATCTGACTGCTTCAGTAAGTAATCAAAAACTCGTTTCACTATTGCGTAGACGAATCTGTTGTCACGACTTCGGTGAATAACTTCCATGTAAGGTCGGAACAATTTCACAAGAACTTCTTCCGTGAGATGCTCATTTATGCCAACTTTTGCAAGTTCCTCGCAGTAAAGGTCTGCGACGTGCAGCTTCAATCCGAGAGGCGTCGCTGCGGTTTGCGTAGGTTCGACTTTGCACACCGTATCCCGAAGTAATTCGACGAAGCTGTCCACAAAATCGAGGCTCCACTTCACATTTGCCCCGTAAATAAATGTTTGACGAATCATTCTACGATTCAACATCAAAAACTTGTCGAATCTCCATTTGTCAATGCCGGGCCACTTGATCGCCATAACAATAAAAAACTCTCGTAGAAAAAGCATAACACTGTCGTGCGATGTCAAGGGTTTGATTAACATACTGATTGACTCCGCGAGATGCTCTTGATTCAAAGGTTTATCGGACATCCACATGCACACGAAGAGGGCACGCCACAGTTTCGCTATATCTTCGGATTCGAGGGGAACATCAGCCCCGTTCCTTTCCAGCCATCGTCGAATGTTTCGCAGCGCTTTATCCCGTACGTTCTTCTCAGGACTCGCCATTCGTTGAGCAACGCTTGTCAATAAATCTTCAACTTTTGAATCATCGCGACACCGTTCCAACTCCGACGTCATCCTGACCCAAATCCAACACACCTTGAAGAAGACACATAAAACTCGCTCATTTAATGCAAGAAACTAAAAAACACAATTAACCCACTTCAAGTTCCGCGAAAAAAAAATTTCTAATACCTCAAGAATTAGGATTCAATGAGTCAGAAAGTTCCCTAGTCAAGTCTCAAATCGCACAGACTAACTAAAACGGATTGTTATACTCATGCACGCCTTACAATGTACAGTACTGTAATGCCCACGTGGGTCCTCACCGAATCACACGCACGCATCCGAATTATGATGATTAAGTCAAATGAATGGCGCCATATTTAAAGTTCAATTTTCAACCATAACTCTTGGGGTTTCATATACATACGAGTGACATAGCCGCACTTCTTTAAGGTAACTCAGACATTTTCTTGAACTTTCTCTCTGTTCTTTCTTCGCCTGTGCACCCACGTATACTACAATGAGGAAATTCTTGTATGCTTCCATGGGACATACACTTTTTATCTGTGTGTTATCGCTGTGCGCTCTTTGGCAATAAGTTTCAAGGACGGCGCCCAACTACATCGCAACCCAACCGGCGGCACGAATCACGGACGGATTGCGAGAAGTGAGAGGTGAAATTGATCATTGTGTCCTTTGCCTTTGGAAACTGCAGAGGGTCATTTCGGAGATAATTCGTGTGTGTTTTGGAAAGTTATCTGTGAAGACAAATTACGATTGAAAAGTGGAAACAAGACCGGCCAGGATTTTTACCATCGAGAATTATGGCGTCCGGTATGCGATGCTACGCAATTCGGCTTTAAAAAGAATACAGTACAATTTTGCGTTGTTCTTCAGGATTTAATTTTGGTCAGGCAACCCCAGCAGCGAAACCCGCGGGATTTACGTTCGGATCTTCGTCCGCAGCCCCCGCGGCCGCTATGCAAGCCCCTGCTGCAACCCCCTCTGCCGGTTCAAGCTTTTCATTCGGTCTTGGAGGAGCGACGAGTTCCACGCAACCAGCAACTGGCAGCTCGACGATGGGATTTTCTTTCGGCTCGAATTTAGGCGGTGTGGCATCAACGACCGCGCCTGCCGCAGCCCCATTATCATTCGCGACCACTACGACTCCCGCTCCGTCTTTTGGGAGTTTCGGTGCTGCCACTGCGGCACCAAAAACTTCAGGTATTGCTGCGTGATACTGCGATTCCTTTGATGAACGACGTTACAGCATATCGGTTGAATTGCGTTTCTCTCTGCCGCAGGAGGGCTTCCCTTCGCCTCATCGATTCCGTCTAGCAGTAGCGGCGCAGTCACTACGACAACACCTGCGACAGGTTTGTGGGATTTTTCTATTTTAATGTGCGATCCGTAAGTTTTTCGATTTATGGATTTTTGGCAGGAATTTCCTCCGGGATTCCATCTGCTGCTCCGTCTGCTGGTGAGTACTGTAATTTTATTTTCGCTGCCTTATTGGGTACTGAAATGTGTTGATTTTCAGGACTATCGTTCGGGACTCCTGCGGCAACGATTACACCCAGTAAGGAACATTATTTTTTGCCCTTCATGCGTTTACGTTAATTTAGTGAACCACTGGACAACATACGTTTATCTAGTTGAATAGGTTATGTCGATAGGGTGCATTTTTAATTCCTTTTGATTGCTGTTTAGCCGCGTCAGTGTCAGCTGCCCCTACAGGATCTGCCTTTTCTTTTGGATTGCCATCATCAACCGTCGCACCGACTACCCAGACAGTAGGTGAGAATACGAAACCATCAATTTATTTTTTGAATAAATTTTAAACTGAGGGAATTCCAGCCACTGTGGCCCCCTCTACAGCTGCATCTTCCCTTCCTACAATGAGCTTTGGCCAACCACCCGCCACGACGACCAGTGGTGTCTCTGCTACCGTTGTTCCTGGAGAACAATCGATGACATTCAGAGATCTGGAGGAAATGATAAACCAATGGTCATTGCTGCTGGATGATCAGGAGAAAATTTTCCTTGACCAGGTACAGTGCTGTACTTGAATTGGAAATGTTCTACTGTTTTTCCTCAGAGAATCGATGTAGTTATGCAGTTTAAATTGTAATTTAATGCAAGTGATCTTTGATGAAATTGGTTGAAATTGCACGTTATTGTGTTTATCATTTTGGTTTTTTGCTGTCATCCGCAATGACATTTCACGTGCTTTGAAATGTATTTATTTAAAATAATTGAAGAAAACGGCGCATGTAGGTTCTTTTATTCTCCCGTTTGTTACAATTTCGTGCTAGTTACGCCGGGTTTATTAATATATAGCATTTTTTCTTTGAAGTATCTGTTCATGTTTTTCGTTGTCCGGAAATGTGAGTTTTGCCGGAAAGAAGTATTTTTGGCTGAAATGACTGTAATTAAATGAGGAAATGTAGGCTTTTGATAGTTTTGAAGGCGTTCCATACAAATTTTTTTCTCGAACAGGCGACGCAGCTGAATGCCTGGGACAGGCTGTTGCAGGCAAATGCAGAGAAGGTTGATTTGGTGATCAACAGCTCGAAGAAAATCAAAGCAGATCAAGATCGTATGGAGCAAGAGCTAGACTTCATCTCCAGTCAGCACCGGGAATTGGAAGAAGCTCTCAAGCCATTGGAGGAAGAGGCTGACAAAGAGTTCAAGAAAATATCAGAAATTTCCATCAATGATCCACTGACCGCTGATGGGCAGCGAGCAGCGATTTTCCGAAAAACTGTGGAAGTCGACTCTCAGTTGAGGACGATTTCAAGCGAATTGAAAACTGTAATCGAGAAGATCAACGCTAGGGCTGATGCTGATTTGGCTGACGACGTTTCATCCAGTGGTACTGAACGTTTTTTGATTATTTTATAATTGCAGTTAAAGCTTGCAAATGTGTGTACGAGAAAAAGAGTTGTTCAGAAAGTGAACCGTAGAAGGATTTAAAGCAGTTTTCGTGAAATAATTCCTACCGCGACTATTTTTTTTTATTGTTAATTTACATGTGTATTTTAACTTTTGTAATTGTTTTCTCAAGGTTCGGAGAGAAACCCTATCAGCCAGGTGTGCCAAATTCTCAATGCACACATGGATTCTATCAAATGGATCGACCAGTCGCTACAACACGTGGAAGGTCAATTGGAGGACGTTGAAAAAGTAAAGAAGCAACTTGCCGCGGCGCGAACCCCCGGGCGTGTTTCATTTCTGTGAACGATTGAAGAAGCTTTTCAACTTGTAAAGATTTCGGTAATGAATTTGATTAAATCTCATGTGATCTGACTGAGTTTTTATACTGTATTCTTGCTTAAACTCTTTAAATCTTCGAATCTATTTTCCATTTTATATTCGACTCCCAATTTCTTCCACGTTTTGAAAGCGTATTGTGCTACAATTTTTAATTTTAATTTTGTGTTGCAGTTTGTTTGCATGTCGATTTCTCAAATGAAAATTTGTGATCAAGTGAATTAGTGCGAAATCCGTGACGTGAAGTGTGACTGGGAAGAATGTGGCCCTTTATGTCCCAAGCGTGAAAAGTAGTTCTTCTTTTGAATTGAAACTCTTGGGACAAACGGCTGACTTTTTTAGTGCCAATTCTCGAGACACCGAGGCTGGAATAATTCATCTCCATTTCTCAGATTTTCGATCAACATTTTATTGTTGGTTCAGTATTGTGAGGTATGGATGTTCTTCAATTTCTGATCAGGTTATGATGTGAACTTAGACCTGTGTTATTACGTTTTCTCGTTGAAAATCAATATCGTTCGTGATTTAAACAGCTTTGTCGCCTTTTCTAGCTGTCCAGTGTGTGAGCTTTTTTTTTTCTTTTTTCGTTCGTGTAATTTACAAATGTTCCAGTTGAACTTGAAAGATACATGTTTCAACGAAATAGACGAGGACAAGCTTCATTTTCAAAAGTAAGGTATATTTTTCAGAATTTTCTGGGCTTCCCTAAAACTTCTCCGCTTTCGTACAAAAATAGAATTCAGATTTCATTAAAATCAATGATTTAAAAAATAAACCCGATGATCAAGCCCGACTTCGGCTGGGATGGTTTCTTCGTCCAATGAGCAAAGATGCAAGAAGAGCCCGTTTTTTATCTTCTTCATCATCATCGTCGTCTCTTGGCTTTAGTTTTTGTTGTTTGTTCCTGGATGAACTTCTTGCGGAAGCTCTAGTAGTGCCCGAATGGCTTGAAGCATTGTTATTCGAAACGTTCTTCGAATTATTGGAGCTGTTGTTGATGGAGGTGTTATTATTTCCGTCGTTCTTCTTATCCTTGGAAGTGTCGTTGTTGCCGTCGTTATTCTGATCTTTGGACGTGTCATTATTTCCGTCATTATTCTGATCTTTGGAAGTGTCGTTATTCCCATCATTGTTATTATTTTTGGACGTGTCGTTATTCCCGTCGTCGCTCTTATTTTTTAAGGTGTCGTTATTCCCGTCGTCGTTCTTATTATTTGACGTGTCGTTATTCCCGTCGTCGTTCTTATTTTTCGACGTGTCGTTATTCCCGTCGTCGTTCTTATTTTTCGACGTGTCGTTATTCCCGTCGTCGTTCTTATTTTTCGACGTATCGTTATTCCCGTCGTCATCATCATCATCATCGTCGTCATCATCATCATCTTTCCTCCTTTGCCGAATGTCCAAGCCGAAAGTGTCGAGGTTGAACGGTGATCCAATTTGGACAGTTTGCTGCTCGTCGTCATCATCACGATTGTTGTCAGTTTTCGCTGGAACCTCCATCCTGAAGAACATTTTGAAAGGCATTTGTACTGGCTTTTCTTTGCTGTTGTCGTCGTCATCATCTTCCTTGTTGGGTTTGGCTGTGGTCGTCGTGGTGGTGGTAGTAGTAGTAGTAGTGGTGGTCGGCGTTGTCTTTGGTGTAGGACTTGTTTTTCCAGTTACTTCTTTGCTCTCATCGTTCTTTGTGGTAGGTGATGTCTGGGTCGTGGCTGTGTTGCCAACTTTCAAAATGTCATCATTATCATCATCGTCGTCGTCCAGGTTGAGGACGAAAAGTTTCCCGTCTTTGTCGAAAAAGTAGAAGATCCGCTTGCCGTTGTTGATCAACGTTCCGAAAGAACCTCCTCCGACAACAGGCGTAGGGATTTGCTGAGCAATATTCGAAGATCCCTGTGTGTCGAGATCCTCTTCATCTTGATTGTCAGCTGAAACTTGAGATGATGTGCTTGGTGTTTCAGTCGTGGATGAAGACGTTCCACTGCTTGGGGTGTCTCCTTGTGAACCCTGATTTTCGTCGTCATCTTTCGTTGTGGACTTTGTGGTGTCGGCTTCTAAGGTTTGATCATCGTTGGTTTGATGTTGTGGATTTTGACCGTGGTCATCGGTTTTGGTTTCTGTACGGGTGTTGTCATTTTCAGCCGAATCTTGTTCGCTGTTATTGTTGTTGTCTTCGTCTTGTTGGCTGTTGTTGTCATCGTTTTGTTTGCTGTTGTTGTCATCGTCGTTTTGTTGGCTGTTGTCATCGTCGTTTTGTTGGCTGTTGTTGTCATCCTCGTTTTGTTGGCTCTTGTCATCGTCGTCTTGTTGGCTGTTCTTGTCTTCGTCGTCAACTTCTGGGGTATTTCCTTGTCGCTGGTTGCTGTCATCGTCGTCGTCTTGGTCTGCTGCCTTGAAGAAGTGCTGTTTGATGAAGTCTGCGAGGTGATCAGCGCGCTTCCTTCTGAAATGGATGAACTCTGGTTCTTCCCCGGACATTTTTCCTGCGGCTTCTTTTTTCTGGTCCTCCTCGGCCTTGAGAGCTGCTGAAATGGATTTCAGGGCTTGTTCTGCAGCTTCCTGTTCTGCTTCGGCTTTATCCTCAGCTGCTTCTTGTTCTTCTTCTGCCTGTTTTTTTGCAGCTTCCTCTGCTTGTTTCAGTTTCTCTTCTTCCGCCTTTTTAAGTTCTTCTTCGAGTTTGAGAGCAGCATCTTCTTGGTCGCCGTTGATGCTTTTAGAGACGACCTCTTCGTCGTTGCCGCCGCCGTTGGACTCCACGACGATCTTCTGTTTCCTAATGTCGAAACTGGGACCGAATCTTGGTGCCCAGATGACTGTTCTAGCGTTGGTGGCGAGTTGAGATGCGCCTCGGGTCAAAGCGTTGACTTCTCGCCTGTGGTGCTGGTCATTGTTGCTTTCGATGCTTTCGTCGCTGTTGGGGTCGAAGATCCTGCCTGGTGCCAAAAGTTTCTTCTTTTGTTGAGCGGGCTTCTTTTTGTTCTTGTAGAGGAAAACGACTCCTGGGAGATTAAAGCCGGACAGTGGTTGTTCAGCTCTGTATTGAGTCGGGCCCAAGAGTCTGCCGAGGGGATACTTTTTGGGACCCGCTCCGTTTGACAGCGCCGATTTGAGTTGCTTGGACGGATTCGGAATGTCGGACAAGGTGCGAGCGATTTCTCTGTCCAGGTAACTGCCGCCTGAGAACACTGGGAACTTTTGCCAGTTTTTCCAGATTTTGTTGAGGTCTTCGAGTCCGGCTTCTAGGTTGTCGAAAGAGCTTGTTGGTTGGAGCAGGACGGTCATCAGCGTGATCTGGGCCAACTGTGGGAAGAATAACTTGGAATGAGGTCGAATTTTTTTCTCTCTCACCAAATGAGGTCATCTTTTTATATAAAACTTCACATGAAGGTTTGTTTTTATTGTTGAGTGTTTTTAAGCGAGTTTTTTCTTATTTCGATACAAGGACACGTTAATGAGTAAAACTTGCTCTATTGGGGGAAGTTGCCCAACAACTCTTCAGGGTTATGAGTAGTAGTGGTTTAGAGCTTTTATTATCCGTGTGATCGATAAAGATACAAATTTGAGAATGATGCTATAAATTTTCGTGAATCGATGGAAATTCCTTTTTTTGGATTGCTCAGGAAAAAAATACAGGTTGGGCAAGAAAATTTGGAACTAATTTATAATCAACAATGTCAAAAATTATAAATGTCATGAAGCTTAATTTATGTTCGAATAAAAGCTGAATCCAATTGTTTTCAAATTCACTGCACTTTAATTTCGGAATACATTTCTAACGCGGGACTAATTTGTTGTAGCGTATAAATAATTCGAGTGAATCCAAAAGCAGAGAATGCATTTGAACTAGACTGGACTCGAAGAAGTGCTTGTTTTTAGTTCTCCCAAAAAGCTGAAATGGTCAGTGAGGTTCACGAAACTTTTCTAAAGTATTTGCTCCAATAAATGCGAAGTATCTTAATTGACGCTGGTCTCTAATTATGTACAGGTTTTAGGATAGCTTCAACTAAAAAAATATCCGCGAGTCTAAGAATGAGAAGAGGTGGAGAGGGTGAACAAATTACTTGGATATTCTTGATCCCAATTGTCCATTTCACAATTTTAACCTTCCTTTCCACGGTTGTCTCAAATTCTTATTGAAGAAACTTTTTTAGCACCCTTTCCCTTCAGCATTCCAGTCTGATTTCCTCTGAAGCAGTGGCAATTGAATAATTAAATTGACTTATTTTTCTTCCTTTTTTTGTTGCTTAGCTGACCGTTGTACATAATGACTTCTCTAATATTAACGGTTCTCTTGATTAAATGCTGAGGGGAAAGAAAACTTTTTGATAAAACACTGGGGGCATTTTTGGGAGTATATACTGTACCAGAATTTTTCGAAATAATTTTCCCAAACTCGGTGTTGTCTATAGTCATTATATGAGACAGTCTGAATTTTGAAATGAGATGCTGAAATGAAATCTATAGTTTCTGAAAGATAGTCTTAGAATTGTCTTCTCTTCCTTCTTCTGGCATCTCTTCCGAAGGGTATCCTCATAAATGTTAGTGTTACAAGTGGCAAAAGCAGGTCCAATTGGGTGAGAAGGGTTGAATTGCAAGTCAACGTACCTGCAAATTCAACCATCAAATTGCAGGATGGTCAAATTGTGAGCCACCTGTATAGTGCTTATTCTATGATAGTTACTGTGCAGTTATGAAATAAGTATGAGTGAAATAAGTTAAATTCATATTTAATTGAGTATACACACATACAAAACATATTTATTTCTAAAAGTTTAAAATGATAATTTTTGTCGATGAAAAACTTGGGTCTGATTCATCTGTAGGATATGTTTTGTTTTTCAAATTTGTGTGTTACTTGAGGGTACATGTTACTTGAGTAAATATTTTCATTTAGTAAGATAGATGGGTATAGAAGTGACACTGGTAAAATAATTGCCCAATTAGTTAATTGCACTTTCATTGAAGTCAAAAACTCAGCGTTCCAAAATTTGATACTTTTCAACTTTCGAATTTAGAGAGAAGCTCCAACATTTTTTTCTGTGCATCCAATGTTCTCAAGCAAATAATGTTTGGCAATATCACCACACAGGGGATCACGTGCAAATCTCACCACGAATGCTAGCGTGGAGGGCCTCATTTTGGAATTGGCACAGCAACCGAGTTGCGTCTTTGGCACCACGTGTCAAGAAAAATTCCCGTCAATTTCTGAGGAATGCTTGTGTCCACAGTAAATGCTAAGAAAGAACTGAGCCTAGACGATTGCTGCTGACCTGATGCTACTATTATTTCAGTGACCCACGGCCAGTGACACTCTAAACCGGTTTCTCAATCAAGGTCCCGGCGTGTCGTCACTGCATTGTCAGGTTTTCTAGTTTGTCGGTTATAATGAGGCTGTCTCACTTTTTTTCCCTTCCAGAAAAGATTATTTTCATGAGCTCGTAATTAAACGAGCGTGTTCGTGCAAAACGGTGAAGTGTGTGTGCGTTCACCAGAGGTTTCTTCGAGACCTGCAGATTTCCGACGAACCTGAAGAAACCGAGATCAGTTTGAATTGCTGGTTCATATGATAAATTTGCATCCCATGCGAACCAGGGGAATACGAGGAAAAATGAAGATGATTGAAACGCGTAAATGGGACTGTAAATGTAAATGTAAGCATAAATGCCCGTGCATGAAGGTATATTCATTTCTTCCTATGCATTATCTAAAAAATCACAAATTAGAAAATGTTTAAAAGAAGAAGCTGTAAATTTTTGAAATTGTACTCTCCGTGATTTTTGTCATTAACGATGCTAAGAAGGAAATTACTGATGCAAACGAGATGTAGATAATTCTGGAGAATTTTTCGCCATCTTGGAAAATGTGCCAATTCGCATCAGTAATTTTTGACACTAACAAATTAATAGTTACCCTGATATTCTTCTTGATGCTCCTTAGTTTCATGAATCTTTTCTAATTGCAACTCTTCTTCCTCGGTTCGGAATGGGATGCATTTTTCACTGAATCTGCGCTGAATTTCTAAAACTGAATCACCTGAACTCATCCGGTCTGATTTACATTTTTTCCGTGTTTCGCAGAATTTTAAACAAGTGCTTTTGGAAGAGAACCAAAGATGTGAAGTTTCGCGATTTTTATCGGATATTCAGCGATTGAATCTCGGTGCCTGGAGTTTCACTTGTTTCAAAAAGTACGTTAGTTGGTCTCTCTTTTTTTTACGCGTGTCAGAAATCGTTGCCTATTTTTTTTGAACTGCGATTTTACCTTTGTAGGGACATTCTATCAAAGGATTCCCGAGCTTCATCTGTAGAACCATGAGTTGTGAAACCAAGTCTACCCGTGGTCGTGGTCGGGGCCGGGGCATTAAGCCATATAATCCGGGTATGACTTCATCTGACGATGCTGTAAGACTTCCTGTCGAGCCCGGGATTCTGCCCCAGACTTCGAGGCTAGGTGAGTTTTTCCCATGAATCTTACATTTTCCGTTTGTAAATAGGAAATTTGCATTATGTATATATACTGTATATTGCATTGTCATGCTAAAAATGAAGACAACTGCTTCGCGCTATTTCTCGTTAGTGCCTCTTCTGAAAATTAATACGTTCGCCTTATTGTAATCAATGACATTTTTGTTTTTGATGCCTTAATTTTATATGCGTTCCATGTCTTTTGTCGATGTTCAAAGCGGATACGAGGATATTTTCGAAAATTCCCAGACTTCCCAAAAAATTCGGAAGCTGACACTTGAAACTTTCGGCGATTTATATTCGTTTGAAAGCGTCACTCAGTTTTATCTAATCTATGATCAACTCTACCCTTTTATTGTACTTTAAAAAATATTCAGACATGAATATCGTCTACTTCATGTCAGTAATCAATTTTAATTTTTGAGGATTGAATCTAAAAACAAGAATTCTAGCGGATTTAAATCTGGGGGTTAAAAAATTATTCGTGGAAGATTTTGAGGTTTCCATTTGAAAAATATTATTCGTAACTATTTCATCGTATTAGTTACCGGTGATCGTTCAAAAACCACGTCACCAGGATTGTCCTTGCGTTCAAGTGCGCTCGAATGCGGGAATCCTTCCCCAGATGATCAAGCGTCCACTTCGACCAGTGACGACATGGTACTTGCTTCAGAGATTTCAAAAATAAATCTCAATCCAAGTAACGGCTGCCTTTTAACGGCACTACTTTTACGCCTTGTTTTCCACTCTTAGCTTTATTTTTGGCTTGGCTACTTTACGTAAAACAGAAGGTCCCGCACTGTAATACACTACGTTATGTCATGTTGCAAAGCTTCAGAGATAATCATAGTTCTTATTTGACAAAGTACAGTAATTTTGAATGAATTGAAGAATGCTAAGAGACGCGGAAAGATTTTGTGCGTTCTATTTTCTCTCCAAGAAAAATGTACGACTATACAATATTCTAATATTTTCCTCGCGCCCTTCTCAGCGCATAAACGTTTGGCGGAATCCGATTTCTGTACTTCGGAATTCCACCGTGTTCTCAAATAAATTAATTCCTCTTGATAATGCAGGTAAATCTCAATGACTCGAACCTCCCTTCGTCAAATTTTTCTGAGTCCTTCTCTGAATTACTTTAGAGACAATAAAAAACTTATCAACTCGAAGGCTTTCCTCCTCAAATCCCCATGACTCGAATTTTCTGGAGGCCTTTTGGCTGTTATTTTATTGACACAGGAAAGAGAAAAATGATGAAAATGTAACTTGCTGCTGTTTTGAAAAGAAGTGAAAGTCAAACCGGGAAAATAATCCCTTGCCTTAAACTTCAGCATCTTGTCAACTGATTTAGGAAACAATTTAAGGCCTACAATATCTCCCATTCAGATTTCCTGTGATTCTTCTTTCTTCCCCCCCCCCCCCACCAAAAATGCTCGTTTCTCTTAATCAAAATCTTTCTAGCTCGATTTTTTGTTTGCCAATTTAGTCCTTTATTGAAGTTCAACTTGAAGAAGGTTAGGTTCAAGTTTTCATTTTTTCTATTTTAGATGAATGAACATCGAATCGGAACGAAGCACGGGACGTCGGGCGTTGTGGTCTCCTTGAGGGCCAATTACATTAAATTGGAGGAGACGAAGCTTCAGAGTCTTGTGGAATATCGCTTGGATATCGTCCCACCCGTGGACTCTCGCGCGATGCGTATGAAGATCTGGCGCGGTGTTCGTGGAAGCCTGGGTCCTAATTACAAGCTCTACGATGGCGGCAACAAAGTCATCACGCTGACCGAGTTGGAATTGAATTCTGATGCGAAACGGGAATTACATGCCACGGTGAACGAAACAATTCATAAGGTCGTCATCAAGCAAACGCGGGTCATTCCGAAGGGTTCCATCGACGCTTTGGCGGTGAGTTTAAACCGTTTTCCCCATATTATTATTTTTTAATTCTCGAGAGATTGATATTTCAAGAGCTTGGTCCTGATTATGTAGGTGGACTCTCTCTACAACGAAATTCAACGGAGAATAAAAAATTCGTTGTGGAGATCTTGTCTCCTCAAAAAATTGCAGAAGTTTAATAAATTCTCATTTTCATGCAGCTGGAATTTTTAATTTGAAGGAAAAGTCAAATTTGGAGAAAATTTGAATGTTTTTTTTATATTTATTTATCCAATTTTAATATTTCTTTCTTCTTCGAATTGAGCTGCGTCCAATTATTTCCAGTATAAAATCATTTTTAAATAGTGTTTTTTTTTCTTTCTCTGTATTTTCCTGTTTGTTTCCTTTATTTTACATTACCTTTGTTTCAATTTTCACGGGAACCAATAAAATGATACCCCGTAGGTTACGACGTGAAGTAATGTCGGACAAAAACGTATTGAAGCAACAAACCAGCCCCTGGAATGTACAGTGGGGCTCCGAAATGCGGACTTAATTGGTGCTTGGACCTTGTTCCTGCGTCGGAGCATCCTCATGTCAGACCATGTTTTCCCATGGACTTCAAAGGGAACTTATTTAAATTGGTTCCAGTCAAAAATTAAAAGTAGAAGAAAACCCCACAAAATCGGACTTCTGGCATCAAAAGAAGCTCGAAAAGCAAAGAGCAAGAATAAGTCATGCTGTAATGTGATCAGATGTTGGGGAAAGCTCCAAAACCGGATAAAATCAGCCTGTTTTAATTATAAATTCTATTACATTTATTATAGAGTTTATCTCTAATTTTTTCGAATGGGAAGTTGCTCAATTGTTTCAAGAGATATCAAGATTTAGAAGAAATGGAATGTTTCCCCTTTTTATAGAAATGTGTCTGTTTCACACAGACATTTTCCGGATGTCGGGCAGATTATTTAATCTTTACGTGTCCCTAAGTCGAATCGTCCGTATGTCGGGGTCCCTCTGTATTTGGTCAATTGCCGAAGACCCCACTGTGGTCATAAAGTGGCCCAAAATGATTTTTTGATGAACATTTCCAGATTTACGGAGTGCTGCTGAAACGTAGTATGCAGTCGGTGAATTTGCAGCCAGTCGGAAGCGCCAAAGACAACCAGTTCATTGACAAGTCGCGTCTCCGGGCATTTGAGCAGCACATGACGGAAATGGCACCCGGGTTCATCAACGTTGTGCAACAGAGAGAAGACGCACTCATGCTCAGAATCTTCCCATTCCACAAATTCTTCCGCACCGACACCTGTTACGATCAAATGGTCCGCATTAAAGGCACGTTGAAGGACGAAGAAGAACACCATTTTGAGCAACGAGTGAGAAGGGACAACACACCGTTACAGCAGTACTGCGCAATGTTAGTGTTCTGCATAGCACAGCTGCTACACCTAAAGTGCTTTTTGGGCTGATCACACACCTTGCTCCTTTGGGCCCTCTGCATGCACCCTATCTACAAGAGGAAGTACGACTTGGAGATCAAGAACTTGACGCAGCCTCTTTTAATTTCTCGGGCGAAAGTGAGTTTTGAAATGTAAAAAAAATTTTTTTGGGGGAATTTTATTGAATTCGTGAAGGTTTTTTTTTTTTATCCTGTTCTTGGATGACATGAACAAACCCGTATGGTTTTTTTTACCCTCGAATCGCGTCATCGAAGGCTTTCTTGAGCAAAATTTTCTCTTATTCCAAGAATCTGCAACAAAATCAAACCAAAACCATTTTCAATTTGCTCCTCGTGCTCATTTTTGTATCTGACGTAACATGAATAATTTATTGTGAGAGTTGGAGAATTTTATTGAGAAGTTACTGTATTATGAAGCGTGACTCCTCAGACTGCCATGAAAATGAGAATTTCAGTCTCAGAAATTTGGGTACCCTTAATTTTTGAATAATTTTACAAATGACTGCGTTGCCACGAATGATCCATCGAATGTGCTGGCGATATTGAAGGAAATTCTCTCCTATTGCGTGAATTCTGATTGTGCCATTTAAATTTTCAAGGCCCGAGATCGACGTAGAGGAGTCGAATTTTTGCGCTTGATTCCCGAGGTTTGCAACATGACAGGGATAAGCGAGCAGATGAAGAAGGACTTCCGAACGATGCATGACGTGTCGTCCACTTTGAAGCGAAATCCCGAACAAATGCGGAAAGAAGTGAGGGATCTTTTGGAAAAGCTGCGGGAAAATCCGAGTGTTCAAGAAGATTTCAAGACTTTCAACGTGAGTTTTTATTATTTATTCGGATTTGAAGGACTGAGATGATGAATAAGATCTTTCATTCCTATGCAGCTGAAGATTGATGCAGATTTGATGAAACTAGAAGGGAGAAAATTGGACGCACATCCAGTTGTTGGTGCTGAAAGCAGAGTTGTTGTGCAGAGAAATGGGGATTGGGGAGTTGGATTGCGGGATTCCAAACTGTATCGTACCGTGGACCTGAAAAACTGGTGTCTGATTTTTTTGTAAGTTTCCATTTGTAACTTTTCCCAATTTTTTTTAAATCGCTTGATATTGTACCTCGTTAAATGGAAGTCCCCGATCTCGAATTTTCATTTAGTCCCCTTCTGAATGCCCATCAAGACAATTTAATAATGACTCGCTCAATCAAAGAATTTCTTCCTCAAAACCTATAAAAAGCTTGATTTATGAGAGGGCCTTTGGCATGTTATTCTGGGAACCCACTTTCTATCGATTAGTAGAGCTTTACTTCACAAGGACAGCTTCACAAAAAAAAAGATAAAAATCTTCCTCGGATTAAATCTTAATCCCGTGCATTTCCTATTTCGGAAACGCAGTTTGTTCTTCGTCACCTTCCCGGGGAGAGGAACTTGACCTATATTAATAAGGTCACGTGAGTCTTCTTCTGACGATAACGATTCTCCTACTGTAACCTTACTCTCAGATAAAACGAGTTATCAAAATGTCTTGATCACGGTTGAGAATTGATTCTCAGACAGCAGATTTGGAAAAAATGTTCGAAACCGACAAGGATAATGCTCTTCGTTATCGATAAACTATTTGCTGATGGATAATGAACCAACAAGGGAGATGCTTTGATACCCCGTGTAATGGACTTTTTTCCCTGTGCTTCGGCTGCCACCAATTTTTGCTTCGGATAGTGAACCCTTTTTTGGGTACTAGATTGCATGAAGAGTGATTTTCGTTCGAAAATCAAATTTGCCGTGAGAAAAGTAGCTGTCGCAAGCTTAATTTTAAAGCGATACCGTATTTTTGAAGTGATGGGTTTTCTCTCATTTTATGTAGAGGAATGCATCTACAGTATTTGATGAATTTTTTATTGACGAAATTTTCAATGGATCCGAAGAGATTATCTAATCGATGACGTTTCTTATAAATAAGTTGGAGGAATTTTTGTGAGTCTGGAACCATTTAATGTATTTCGGCTTATATTGCTGAATTCATCAATTTTTTTTTGATGATGAACTTCTTAATAGAAAGAATCAAGTTCATAAATCAAGGAACTATTCAAGTGCATTTTGCTTTATGCTTCTTGGAAGAATCCGGTTCGGTGGGATCTTTCAACAAAACTATTGTTTTTGGGATCCAAAAACTCAATACATTATGATGAAAAGTTTCTAATGCTTCCACTTCGAAAAATGTGACTATACTGTACTGGAGAGACGTCAACAAATTTTTTATTAGGGTATGTTTGGTATAATGCATTTTTTCTAAGATACTGCATATAGAATCACATAACCACAAATCTTTTCACAGTTCTTACAAACTTTTACTGTATACTTACTTTCCTAAGTTCCTTTTGTAGAGGAATAACTTTTTCTTCAAGTCTCGATGCAACCCATGTATTTCTTTATTGTGATTATTGTTTTCGGATTCCAGTGGCTTTTAATAACAAGATTAGAGTAAGATCCTTTCTGTCTTTTGTCTAAAGTCTCAGCGTATTGTTTAAAATTTTTAATGCATTCGTTAAGGAATAGTTCTTGATCCTTGGCAGACTACAGTATTTAATTTCCGTTATGCTGCATAACGTCATTCCAATGTTTCATTTTTTTTTCTTCTTCACTGTGACTTGAACCAGGGGATACAAAAATACGTACAATGCCGTAATTGATTTTAATTTTTGACTTACAGGCGGTCGGACGATTCAGTCGCCAGGAACTTCGCGGAGAATCTGCAACGTGCGGCTCGAGGTTTTGGGGGTTCTGTGAAGCCACCTACGCTGAAATCTGTGGTCGATTCCCGTGCATCCAGCTTTCTAGAAGCCNTCGATTCCCGTGCATCCAGCTTTCTAGAAGCCGTGGATAGAACCCTGGATCTCCAGTTCGATTTGATTACCGTCATTGTGCCAGATTCTCAGTGAGTAATGAGTTATTGATCATTTGCTTTAAAATTGAAGGATGTGCGAAATTTCACTGCGCAGTTGAGAATTCAGCTATTTAACACCGGTTCGAATCTGAAGCTCACTATGCTGCCTTGCAAAACTGTTGAAGTTTACGTCCGCCAACAAAATTATATGTAGGATTAGTTGAAAGAAATAGTAAACAAAATTGAATTTCTTGGTGGAAATAGCCAAGAAAACTCAACATGTATTTATTTTTTTAGGAACAAATTCGACTCAGCGCCGCTATTTACTACACTTTCAGCTGAGCAATAAAAACGCAAAATGCAAATTGAAATTGAATCATCCTTTTTGTGGCTTTTTCATTGGATTAACCTTTAAATGTACTGTACAATATATTTGTAGATGTTTTAATTGGCGGAAAATAATTTGGAAGACGGAACGGGGACTGGAAATTTTTCAGTTACAGCCAGCGTTCTCCATCCATGTCACAGGGGGCTAAAAAAATTGCAGTTCAGCTAAAATGAATTTAAATTTTCTGATCTTTTAACCCTTATCTAAAGTGGAAAAGAAAATCGTTTGAACAACAGCAACATTTCATTTTTTTTTAGCTGGCCGGACAAATTTTTTGCACCCTGTGACATGAGTGGAAAACTCTGGCTGTAATCAGCGAGTTTTCACTTTTCATCATGCAGGAGATTCAAAACTTTTTTAAAACCGAAAACAAATCTTAGAACATCATAGGCTATGTCAAGAATTTTTTTTTTTACAATCACACCTCTTCTAGATATATTGGAGGCCGCGTCAAACTTGGACAACCCTCGTATGAAATTGAAGCGTCATTGAATCCGATGAATTTTTCTTCAGGGCGGATCGTTACAACGCG